TAAAAAATAATACAATAAAAAAAAGAAAGAAGACCTTTGACACCTAAATACTATAATACAGACATCTCAGGACTATAATTGACATGATGACCTTAACCATGAGCTTGAGCTGGTGGAGATTGTGAGGCTGGTACCGGAGAAGGTACAGTGTTGACCTATTGTTTCTAGGGACTCTATGAGTCATAGTAGACTCAGTGGCAGCTCACAACAACAACTACAGTAATACTGTTATTGGACAAACAATGGATCCTTTCTCGATCAGTCTCTTTACTAAATACAAACAGAGGCAGAATCGAATATACACTTTATTCACGGATGTGGAAGACAGTGAGGTAGCTCTCCAAGACTGTCCTGCCACATGCCATGTGGTCAGGGGATTTAGATCTTACTTAGTTATTAATCTACTTGACATATTATTATCCTTTGTTCAGTGACAGGACTTTTTATTTGGGAAGGACAATTCACATTTTGCTGAGAAAACAGTGTCCAGTTCAAATAGTGCTCATGAAATACATTGCTATCTCTCCCTGAAGTTAAAGGGTTCTTATTTGGGAAAGTGATTTACCTTTTGGAGACAAATGGCATTTTTTTTGGTCTCAGCACAAAATTATCCCTTATTTTTCCAAACAGTAACATTTACCAAGGATATGAGATCATAACTGAAGGTTGGAGTTTTGATGACTTTGCACAAAACTACTTGAGACACCAACTCAGCTAATATACTAATGAATACAACTACAAAGAAGTTAAACATGGATCTAGAGATACAGAGACAAACAAGACGCTAAACTTCATTATAGAAAAGTTAATTAGTAACATAAACTGGCATCCAAACAACAGGATGCTAATTGTTGTTACAGGAATTTAACTAGTAATAAAGGTAAAGTCCAAGCAGAATGCCAAACTTCAGCTTCATTTAATCATACGTTGTGCCCTAATTTAAAAACAGTCCTGAATTTTACTAATGATGTCTTGTAGTACAATAGTTTATTTGCTAAGACATGGATGTGAATCAAGTCCAGTGTGTGACAAAACACTTAGCTATTGATTATGTTAGGAAATTCTGGTGACCTAGTGAGTAAGGAATTGTACTGTCAACCCAAAGGCAGGTGGTTTGAATCCACCAGCTGCTCCATAGAAGAAAGATGGGCATTCTCTTCTTGCTGGAGGGTCAGCTGTGAATTAATTCTTACTTGATGGCACATAACAAGAAGGAGATTATTTTACTCTGAAAACAAGTTTAAAGACAGCAAAAAGGTACCTTCAGTGCTTTGTCTTAGCTGTTATAATGATAAAATAATAAACTATTATAGATTAATGTATTTTTAAAAATCTTCTTCAGATAAAAATGGTAGAAAGGCCTAAGCTGGCTGGAGTGTGTGGACTTTATGATCATTATTATCTTCAACTTGATTTGCTGAGAAAGAGATACGAGGGGCTAAATTATCACAGTGTTCCTCAAAAAGATGTCAGAGTTGAGAATTATAAGCAGGAAGAAAACCACCATCCATCACTAGGCCAATGGTAAGTCGTACTCTAACTTGAACTTTACTGCTCTGAAAATATGTTTATAGAGTGACAATCTTTGTCCCTGAATTCTTCCAAAATTCTTAAAACCAATAATTCCGAAAGAACTTCTACACTGTCAGTTTTAAACACCAATTTCACAGTTCCTTTGATCTTCAAGTCTAATGTATGCACTTCTGTAAGTCTTGGTGCACTGAATTGATGGAAAATTTTCAATAAGTTATTTAGTAATTTCATAATAAGTGATATAGCAATCTAATTATTAGTTAATTATTATAACAAGGCTAGTTGAACTTATTAACTTATTCAAGTAGTTATTTAATTATAAGCACAGATTTATGCTCTTGAGCTTATGATGTATTCCTTCTCATAAATTTCTCTATTTGGGAGTGATGAAAATATATAGTTGTGTATGTTTCATTTTTAAAAAAAGTTAATGAGCTTATAAATATGAGTATTTAATAACTAAATTATTATAATAACAGTTAATTTGAGATATTTTGAAAAGTAGAATATTTTATTCAGCATTTGTATTCTTAAACTTTTCAGAATATAAATGCATGAGGAAGTAAATAATATCATTTAACTAATCTTATTGTAGGGAGCTCTGGTGGTTTAGTGGTAAGGAATTGCGCTGCTAACGCAAAGGTATGTGGTTTGAATCCAGCAGTTGTTCTGCAGGAGAAAAAGATAGGCAGTCTCCTCCCTTGCAATTTGCTGCCTCAGAAAATCTGCTGGAGGGTCAGCTATGGGTTGGTTCTGACTCAACAGTACACAACAACAACATTATGACAGATTTAAAAAAAATTTCTTTCAAACCAAATTTCTGTTGTTTTTATGTGTCATTACATTGTCTGTGACTCATAGCAACCCTATGTACAGTAGACCCGAACCCTATCATATCATGAACCAATTTCACTGTCTCTGACACAACTACCTCCATTACCCTAGTTATTGTGTCAATCCATCTCATCTAAGGTCTTCCTCTCTTTCTTTGTCCCTCGAACCTTCCAAGCATGATGTCCTCCTAGGACTGGGCTATTCTGGCAACATGCCCAAAGTATGTGAGATGGAGCCTCAAAATCCTTGCCTCCCAGAAGCAGCTTAGAGTCACCTTCTGCAGTACAGATCTGTTTGTTCTCTTGTCAGTGCATGGTATATTCAATACTCTTCTCCAGCACCACAGCTCAAAGGCATTGATTCTCCTTCTATCATCCTTAGTCATTGTCTAGCCCTCTGATGCATAGCAAGCAATTGCAAAGACCATGGCTTGGATCAGGTGCACCTTAGTCTCTAGACTAATATCATTGTTTTTCTTAACTCTGGAGAGGTCCCTGATAGCAGATTTAATCAGTTCAATTAATCTTTTTATTTCCTGACTGGTGGTGCCACGAGTGTTGATTGTGGAACCAAGGAAGTGGAAATTGTTAACTCTCTCAGTCTCTTTTTCATCTATCATGGTACCTCTGATTGGCCTAGTGGTGAGAATCTTTGTTTTCTTGAACTACTGAGAATAATTTTATAAAATGTTTTTGCTATAAAATTTTTTTCTAACATTTAACAATTGCTATCTTTTGGTGAGTATGACTATTTATTTTTGAAATTTTAGAGGGACCATAAAAAATACAAAAGACTATTTATTCATCAGCTAATTAAAAGTAAACAACAATGATAAAAAATCATTTCCTCAGAATGAGTATGGGGAAAGAAGTTTTTTGTGTTTTTTTCAATAACACCTAAAGTTTATTGGATGACAGCACACACAGGAAACGCAATTAGTCGAGGAGCCTACTATCCGTTCCCAAAGGGATCATTCTAAGAATTGAGACCCAGGAGACGAACCCCGGCAGAGGCCTGGTCCGCCGCGGTGTAGCTACGGTTAAAAGGGCCGCCTGCAGCGGGCTGGGGCCCCAGTTATGCGCGAACTCATGGTCTTGCGCCGCAGCTTAACCCGGGAAAGAAGTCTTAAGATATCGAATTCTGTTTCAGTCATCTTCATGCAATTACTGAATTACCCTCATTATCATAGAAAAGTTCTGTGTTCTTTTAATTCAAACAACAATAACTATACACCAAAAACCAAATCCACTGGCATGCAGGTCAACTTTCAATACATGTTAACTTACGGTTTCAGAGGCTGTAAGTCTTTCCAGGAAGAGGCATCTTTATTCTGTGGATCCAGATCATTGATGTTTCATTAGCAGCACAGCACGTAATACCTCGTTACATGAGTGTCATATATTTTACATACAAATAGAACTTCCTTTCTGTTTTGTGAGTCATTAAGAGACATGTCTTCAATCACTTGTATATGGTAGTTTATGATAGTATGTGATAGTTTATGATAGTATATGATATGATAGTTTTCAAACTATAGTTGCTTTGATGACATCAGATTTGCTTTCTCCAGGAGCTCTGGTGGCTTATTGGTAAGAAGTTGCACTGCTAAGCCGAAGGGAGGTGGTTTGGATCCACCAGCTGCTCCATGGGGAAATATGAGTAATCTCCCAGGTGTTTTACAGCCCCTGAAAACCTGCTGAATGGTCAGCTATGAGTCAGTTCCTACCTGATGGCATGTAACAACCACCACCTCCCATAAAATGATGAAATATTTCGCTCTTCACTTTACGCTGCTTCCCATCGTGGACTCTCTCTTGGTGCATCACAGTGTGCTCCTCTTCCTCTGCTGACCCTTCTCTGCTGCCCTATCACCACTACTCCCCAACTCCCAACTCTACTTTCTCTACTGGAGCTTTCATTCTAGGTCCTGGGAGTCCAGTTTTGATGTGTGGAGAGGAGCAAGAGGAAACTTATAGGGATGTAGTGAAATAGAGGAAGAGTGCCTTTGGACAGCCCTACGTAATGCTAATTCATAGAGTTCTTACATATGGGGTTAGGTTATGAGTTTGACTAGTTTTACATTAAGCCCTCCCCTAGTCAAGCACTATCTATCGGTGTGCCAGACACTAGTCAAACATGTTTCCTTGTCCTCATCAATTCCAGTCCTCATATTAACCCCTGAGAGCAAATATTTGTGCCCATTCTACAGATGAGGAAATGCATTTAAACACATATTTGAATAACTAATGGATAAGTTGCAGTCATACAATTGACTTTGCAGTTGCCTATTTGTTAAAACTGGGGACAGCTTATCAAGGTTCTGAAGCAAACATTTCTAACATGAAAGCTCTGTCTTTGGAGCCCTAGGAGTTACTGGTGTTCAGAAAAACCATAAGACACCGACCCCCAAAAAATGTTATGATATAAAGTATGGTTGTTGTTAGTTGCCATAAAATTGACTACAACTCTGAGCGAGTCTAAGAACAGATTAGAATCTTGCCTGGTCCTGCACCTCACGGTCTTCACTATGCTCAAACATGTTGTTGTTGTCACTGTGTCAATCAGTCTCCCTCGCTTTTGTTGACCTTCCACCTTTAACCAGCACAATATCTCTTTCCAAGGACTGGCTCTTCCTTACAACATGCCCAAAGTCTATGAGATGAAGTTTCACTATCCTTGCCTCTAAGGACCATGTTCTAAGGTTGCACTTTCTCCAAGGCAGATTTGTTTGTTCTTTTGACAGTTCATGGGTTATTTTATATTCTTCTCCAACACTATAATTCAAAGACATAGATTCTTCTTCACAAGCTGAATTATGGGCTACAGTATAGATTTTATGCATTTATCAATCAGCAGTAAGAAAACTTTTCTGTAGGAAATTCTACAAAATAAGAAAGAAAAATACAAATATATAAAGAATGTAGGTATAAATCTGAAAATGGCTAGATAGATTTGTACTAGAAAAATACTGTAACCATTTTATGAGCCAACTAAAACCACTCATTGACATATTAAGCTCTGGTGTGTCAATCTGAGAAGTGGAGAAAAGGAGTAGGATACTATCTTGCTCAAAGGCTGCAGTCAGCAGTGCAGGAAACAGACGAGTGATAAGTGACCTGTAGTTAAAGTGAGGCAAGGTTACGGGGGAGAGAGTCACCAGCCTGAGAATTTTGGGAGTATTGGTGATGGTTTCCAACATAGAGACAATGTTGCTGTTGTTGGTAGTTGCATTCTTAAGTTTATAACTTAAAGCCACAGATCAGTTATGAACTTTATGACTAAGCTGAAAACCATTTGGCTAAGACTAGTTAAAATTTATATTCAAGCTGAATGTTCTTATTTTATAAGGTCTGCTGAGTACCTAAAGAGGAAAGTTGAAGCTCAACAATACAAGCTGAAAGTGGAAAAGCAATTGGTAAGTCTTATAGTTTTAGTTCTTATAGTTAGATCTTCGATCCATTTTTAAATTAATCTCCTTATATATTATGGGGTATGGGTCCTGTGTCACTGTATTTACAAATGGTTATCCAGTTTTTTCATAACCATTTATTGAAAAGACTATTCATTCTCCCTTGAACTGACATAGCACATTTATTGAAAGTCAGTTGACATCATAAATATTTATTTTTAGATTTTTCAATTCTATTCCAGTAGTCTATATGCTTGTTTTTAGAACAATACTACACTGTTTTTGTTTACTAGTTTTAGAATACATTTTAAATAATATTTTATTCAATTTACATCTAACAATTTCTGTTTGACAGTGTTCAGTGACATCAGTTATATTTTTCACAATGTGTGAGTATTTTGATTGTTTCCATTCTGGTTGTTCTGTTTCCATTAATCTAGCTTCCCTATTCCCCCTCAAGAGCTCATCTTTGCTTTAGGGTAAATGTTGACCAGTCCATCTCATATAGAAGATTATTTAAATGATTATTTAAAAGAGCATAATACTAATGGGAGATGTTGTTTTTGTTATGTGTAGTCAAGATGGAACTGATTCATAGCTTACCCTCCAAAAGGTTTTAAAGGCATAAGTAAATTGCATGGGAGGAGATTGCCCATCCATTTCCTGTGGAACAGCTAGTAGATTCATATACCTTTGGAATTGCAGCTCAGCTTCTTACTAAGCCACCAGAACTCACTAGTGAGGGATAGTGATTATATTATGATAATGTTGTTAGACTAACAAATAACCTCCAGAAATGGTTTCAGTTCTAAGTTGAAAATGTAACTCATGACAATAATCATGAAAGTTCTTCTAATCTCTGCCAGTTTAGTAAGTTCAGTCTTTTCTGAAGAATTTGAATTATGCTTAACATTTTTACTTCAATTCTGAGACCTTTTTTTTTAAAAATATATCCTTTGCCAGAATGGTTGTTAGTCATAGTTGGGCATTATATAGTTCTTGTAGTCTCAGGATAGAAAAAACTCTGATTCATGTGGACTTTGCTATTGTTACATGCCATCAAGTCAGAACTGACTCAGAGCTGACCCTTCAGCACGTTTTCAGAGGAAGGAATGCTGCACAGGAGGAGATTGCTCATCTTTCTCTTGCTGAGCAGCTGGGGAATTTGATCATGTGCCTTTGGGATTGCAGTACAGCTTCTTACCACTAGTCAGTAGAGTCCTTTATATTAGTTTCTTCTTTGAGTCTTTGGCTTCTTTCTTTTTCTTTTACCCCAAACTAGTGGATAAGCACAGTTAAATCTTAGATGGTGACTCAGAAGCTTTTAAAATCTCTAGATGCCACTCACCAAACTAGAATGTAAAATATTATCTTTATGAACTATATTTTGCCAATGGATTGAGTTATTCCATGAGTTTATGGTTCTGAGTCTTCAGTTCTGTGAAATATTAGGTTGTCTACAAAGCCTCTGTAATTGTGTTTCTATGTGTATATAATATAGACATATGTACACATACAAACACATATATAAACACAAACATGTGTAAGTAGGCCTACAGCTACACAAACTTATATATGAATAACTTCTTACTCATGGACCTTGTCTGATAGAATGCATAGGAATCAAATTGACTACATTTGTGGAAAGAAACTGTGGAAAAACTCAGTAATAACTAGTGAGAACAAGGCCAGGGGCTGACTGTGGAACAGACCATCAATCACCATGATGCAAGTTCAAGTAGAAGCTGAAGAAAATGAAAACAAGACCATGAGTGTGAAAATATTACTTTTGTCCCATCTGAATTAAAAATCATCTCAAGAATAGATTTGTTACCTTGAACATTAATGGACAAAGATCAGATGAACTATAGGATGATATCAAGGATACCATGCAGGAAGAAAGAAGAAAACAAGCAAAAGATCAACAACCCTCAAAACTCATTGCTATGAAGTCAGAATCAGCTCATGGCTGACCCTCCAGAAGGTTTTCATAGGCTGTAATTTGCCCAGGAGGAGATTTCCCATCTTTCTTCGACCAGCGAGGTGCTGCCTTTGACTTAGCAGCACAACTCCCTACAGTGCTCCTGAAGAAAGCAAAGTCATTAAAAAGACAAGAGAGAAAAGACCACAATGAATTTCAGAAGAGACTTTGAAACTTGCTCTTGTACACAGAGAAACAAAAGGAAAAATGGTGAAGTGAAAAAGCTGAACAGATTTCAAAGGGCAGCTTGAGAAGACAAAGCAAAATATTATGACAAAATGTGCAAAGACAGTTTAGAAAACCGATAGGGAAGAACACCGTATTTCTCAAGTTCAAAAACACTGAAGAACAAACTTAAGACATGAATTGCAATACTAAAGGATTCCATGATAAAATATTGACTGACATGGGAACCATCAAAAGATAGAAGGCTAAGACAGAGCCACTTTACCAAAAATAATGAATGATGCTCAACCATTTTAGGAAGTAATATTTGATAAGGAATCAACGGTGCTGAAGGAAGATGTCCAAGATTCACTTAGCTTGTTGGTGAAAAACTGTGTTCCGGAAATTGATGAAATACTATTAGGGAAGTAGATGCCACTCCTGCTTCCAAGGATATTAATGATAATGTTTGATAGTTTCCATATTCTGTTGAATCACCTTTCTTGGAAATGGGAACAAATATGGATATCTTGTAGTCAGTCAGCCAGGCAGCCGTCTTCCAAATTTCCTGTCATAGAATAGGAGCACATCTAGGACTAGATGTGTCATTTGAAACACGTCAGTTGGTATCCCGTTGATTCCTGCATACTTACTTTTTGCCAGTGCCTTCAGTGCAGCTCAAACTCCTTCCTGCATTACCACTGGCTCTTGATCGTACGGATGTTGTTATTAAGTACTGTTGTGTCAGAACCAACTCATGGCTAATCCTCCCGTGGGTTTTAGAGGGAGTGAATCACATTGGAGAATTAAGTACAGGTTAGAAGTGGAGAGCGGAGGAAAACTGAGGATGTATCCTCTTTGTAGTACTCTACCTTTTTTTTTTAAAATAAAATTTTATCCTAATTGTGATTTAAACTAACGTTTACTGAGAAGTTAGATTTTCATTCATTCTACTTTCGAATCACTTAAAATCTCTAGTTCTTTCCCCATACCTGTCTCTGAAAACCTCCAGAAGGTCAGTGATGAGTCCGTTCCATCCCAGCTCAGCGATACCTAACATGAATCTTATGCTCAGTTTTGTTTGGTGACATGGGCTTTGTTAGAAGGTCGTGGTCAAATCACAAGAAAATGTTTGCAAACTGTAAGTATGCTTTAATTTTTTTTTAATTTAATAAATAGGGTCTTCGTCCATCATCTGCTGAGCCAAATCACCACGGGAGGCAGGAGTTAAGAAGGAATGAAGATTCTAGATTCCAAGAACAACAACTTAAGAGGAACAAAATAAAGGAACAGGTTAAAAACAGTCTAAATCCGGGGTTACTATTGTATTTACATCCTTGTGATTGGTACTTTTATAGGATGCTAATCTCAGTAAACCTGAGAGGATTCTATTCCATAAATACTTGTTAGGTAGGAACAGTCAATATGGAAAGCATTATGGTGGATGTTTGGGAAGATATAGAAATATGTACTTCAACTTCTCAGAGAATGCAAGTTAAGAATGTAGTTAAGTTCATAAGGTTTTTTTATCTTGGATTCATGAATAACATTACATTATTAACCTATTTGGATTACATTTAAAAGTGAGATATATAAAGAAACTGTTATTAGTTAATTTATCTGTTTACATATAAAAATTAGGTCATACAATCACTGCAAATTATTAATGTATTTAAAGTTATATAAAAAAATGAGACCACCCTAAGCTACTGTGCCACATACAGTGAAAAATAGTCAAAATGTAAGAGAGAATTAACCTTAAGACAACAAGCCTTCTTTTTCTTTTGTACCTCACGGTTTTAAAAAATGCAGAGCATAGATATTTTAAGTTGTTCTTAAATACTTTACTGGGTTTGTTTCTCAGGAATATTGGAAGCAATTAGAGGAAATACGCCAGCAATACCACACTGACATGAAGGAAATCAGAAGGAAGGTGGGCAGAGAACTGGAGGTAAACAAACTCATTTTCCCAAAGTGACCATTGTTCTGTCAATTTAGAGTGGACTAAATTGGACATATATTAAGATGAATGATATTTCCCTAGAAATGACACAAATTTATCATAAACATTCATACAAACCTTTAATAGAAAAGCTGTCAGACTTAATGGAAGTTTTACTTCATTATGACTTGAGACTGGATAGGCAAATGAGGCTCTCTGATACATTCTCAGGAATGGTGATTAAAAGTTACTCAAAAATGCATCAATGAATGAATGAAAACTCAACTTTTCTGTAAACTTTCATTTAAATCACAATAAGAGAAAAAAGAAATAAAAATATATTTGCCATTTTTATCTTTCTCAATATATATTTACACTTATGTTGCCTTAGAGTTAAGGAGTCCAAAATTAGTGTAAGTCTCTATGATTAAGGAAGGGAAAAAAGACTCCATTTCTTGAACTTCAATTGTAATAGCATTATGCAGATGCATGTGGAAGGCACTAAAATCAGTATGTTAGGCAAAATTCCAGGGTAGTTAAGGCAGATTTCGAGAAATTTCTAAGGCAGGTGCTACATTGGAAACTGATACTTTCATGTTTTAGAAGGGTTTCTAGGGCTGGAGCAGATTTCTGGTGCTTTGTTGTTTTCTATTGAGTTCTAGATGAAATAACTGGTTTGCATTTTGGGAAGGTACTCTTGTGTAAAATCATGGATATTTTAACACTGTAAATGTATTCAGGTCCCTGGAATGCACATCTTTTGAGACATCCCAGATGTACTTGGACTCTGCTCTTTTTAGTGGAACTACCTATTCTACTGAAATTGAGAGAACTCTTTTCTCCACCCACTTCAAGCACATAAATTTCAGTTAAATGAGTATATGGTACAATTGAATTGTATGTTTCAGGGCTCTCACAAACTACCTCCTTTGCCCCCTGGAACAGAAATGTAACTCATTCAAAGACAAATGTTTTATTTAGTTTTTATCTTATTTTAAATTTCGACTCTTTCCTATGTATGCACTTCTACTCAAATTGTTGGAGAAGTAAGACACACACTTATGAAATAATAATAGAATATAACTGAATATAGTTAAGTCCTGTAAATATGTATGAAGAGAAGGATGAACAGGATTGGTTTTGTGGAAGAAAAGAGATGAGCTTAATTGGATCTGAAAAGAAAACTAGGATTTAGAGAAACATAAGGAAGAGGATGAGGAGAACATTCTGAGAGGAAAAAGTCTATACAGCGCTTCAGCGGGAGGATGGAGATGTGCAGGAGGAGACACGTCAGAGGTTGTTGCTTTAGTGCACAGTCTTGGTTAATGGCAGAAATCTGGTACCATTATTATCCTCCCTTTTAAGGAAGGTATCTGGGTGTTGGAAATGGTTAAGCTCTTAGAAAGGTTGACGGTGGTTCCAATTCACCAAAAGGTAAATCCTGTGTTTTGACTTTCAAAAGAAGACAGCCATTTAAAAAAAATTGGTTTGCTTACAAAGTTTATATACATTGTGTTTCACACTATTCTTCATTCACGTTGTGTTTCATACAATCATTCTCATACATTATCTGTTATAAAATCAGTCTCCACTGGACCCTGCTCATCATTACCCTGTCTTTTCACGCTCATCCTTCCTATTTGCTTTTGCCCTCTCTGTACCCCTCGAACTGTGCAGCCCTATGCTTTCACCCCACCTGTCTTTATCACTCAAAAATGATACTTCATTTTATAATTAGAGAGCTACACTTTTCTGAAAAGTTTTCTTTATTCTGTTCAATATTAAAATTGCCTTCAAGTCTAAGGGGAAAAAAATGACATCCATTGACAACCCAATGGAGTGTAGTTCTACCCTGAAGCACAAGAATTTTTTATGAGTTAAAACTGGCCACAACAACTGGGTTATTTGGTTTGCTTATTTGTCTTGGTTTGTTTTTGTGGGAAACCAAAGCGGGGGAAGATGAATAGCAGGCATTTCTGAAGAAACTCTGACAGAAGGAGCTGGGAGCTATCATTGGCAGCTTTACGGAAAAGATTAAAAAAAAGAGGTCTTTCCAGTTGTTTTTCTTGATCATTTCTCTCATAGCCTTGGAGGTATGGTCCTTAGAGAGTCACAATGATGATCCAAAGGTGACACTTCTCAAGTAGTTTGACTCCACTAGGCAGCTATTCCTCAGGAAAAGGATGGGCACTTTTCCTCTTGTGCAATTTGCAGCCTCCCCAAAATGAACTGGAGGGTCACCTGTGAGTTCTGACCCACTGGAAATCAGGGTGTTTTAGTTATTTTATAGAAGGTTGTGTTTGTGATTATGTATTATTGAGTTAAAATCAACCCATAGGTGACCCTCCAGTGGGTTTTCAGAGGCAGTAAATTGCATGGGAGGGGACTATTCATCCTTTTATCCTGGAGCAGCCAGTGAATTAGAATTACATGCCTTTGGGTTACCAGTGCAGTTTCTTACCACTAGGCCACTAGAGCTCCCATCATATAGAAAGAAGACATTTCTCCACAAGAATCCATTGAAACCCTAGCCAGAATTCATGTGGTAGCCCTTAGAAGTACTTCAGGATCGCTCTTGTTAACTCTAATTTCTGTCAAAGGAGGACTCAAAAATACATCATAAAACCTATTTGGTGAAGACAAGTAAGTTACCTGACCACCAAGAAAGACCTGAGGAAGAATTACCTGTGCAGGTAGTGATGCTTGCTAGAAGTTTATCTATTTCCCATTGAGTTTCCCAGTGGTTCTTAATCTTCACTGTGCAGTTGAGTGAGTCCTGAAAATTGATGGACTGGATTAGTTAAAACCTTATTTCTGTATTTTCCCCAGTCTGTATTCATGAGGGATTCACTAATTTGTGTTTTTATTTCTTGTACTCTCACTGTCAAGATTTGGTATTTGGATAATGTCGGCCTTATCGACTAGATTGGGAATATACCTTCCTCTTTCATTTTCTGGAAATGTTTTCTAAAATTGTCTTTATTTCTTTGTATATGATTGATAGGATTTATCAGTGCTGCCATCTGAATCTGGAGTTATCTGTGTGAAAAGGTTTGAAACTATCAATCTTAATCCCTTCAAAGATATGACCTAGTGGCAAGAAGCTGTGTTGCAATCCTGAAGGCACACGGTTCAAATCCACCAAGTGCTCAGTGGGAGAAGGATTGGGCAATCTCCTTTGTGATTAACTGCCTCTAAAAACCCACAGGAGGGTCCACTAGGGGTTGGTTCTGACTTGATGGTACACAGCACAACAACAACAACAACAACACAATATTCAGATTATTTATTTGTTCTTGAATGACCTGTGGTAGTTGGAATCCTTTAAGGAATTGGTTCACTTTAAGTTATCAAATTTTTAACACAAAATGGATAGACTCAGCATGTGTCTTGCTTTGTTGGCCTGCATTTTCTTCAGACCCTTCTCATTAGGCTTTGTGGCAAACAAAGCTTAGACAGCTCAGGAAGCCGGAGTTCTAACCCATCAAGAGAATCATGTCATTGTGATTGGGGTTCATTAGTACTTTCTGTACTATTTTAAGGATTTGTTGTGGTGATGTGGTTCTTGAACGTGGCCAAATCTGCACCATCTCCTGCGGCTACTGGAAAACCAGAGACCAAAAGTGGGAGAGTTCCACTTCAATTTTTATTACTTATTTTTCTTCTACTTATTTTAAATTAATTTAATTTAGTTCTTTTTCTGGTTTCTTAAGGTGAAAGTCAAGGCTACTGATTTAAGGCCCAACTACTGATTAAACACCATCCATACATTTTGATGTTTTGTGTTTTGATTCTTATTCATTTCAAAATATTTTCTTTTTTTTTCAGAATATTTTCTCTCTCATTTTCTTTTCAATTTCTTCTTTCATGCTTGACTGTTTAGAAGAGTGTTATTTTCAAATATTTCTGGATTTTGCAAGAGCTTTCTGGTTTTTATTTATTTATTTATTTATTTATTTGTTCATTCCACTGTAGTTAAGAAAACACACTGGATAACTGTTGTTGTTAGTAGGTGTCTATGAGTCGCCTACCAGACATAGTGACCCTTCGAACAACAGATCAGAGTCTTGCCGTACGCTGTGCCATCTCCGTGATCTCCAACATGCTCTAGCTCCCAGAAGGCCTTCCTCTCTTTTGTTTGACCCTCTATCTTTCCCAGCCTGATATCTTTTTCTAAGGACTTGCCCCACCTGACAACATGCTCAACGTATATGAAATAAAGTTTCACCACCTTTCCTCTTAGTTGCATCCTGATCTTACCTCCTCTGAGACAGACTTGGTTTTTTTCTCTTGAAAGTCCATGTTATGTTTAAGACTCTTCTTCAATGTCACAATTAAAAGGTATCAATAATTCTTTGATCTTCCTTATTCACGCTTCACTTTTCACATGAATAGGAAGTAATCTAAAATATAGTGGCTTAGACTGACATCTTTGCTTTTTAGTACTTCAAAGAGACCCCTGACAGCAGATTTGTCCTATATAACACGAATTTTTATCTCTTTCCCTCCCTTCTCTGTAATAAATAATTTTCAGCTTTTAAAGTAATCTTTGAAAAATTTAGATAACTAAGATTCTCAAGAGTAGTTCTTACTTGTTCATGAAGAACTCTTTGGTATATGCTTCAGTTTTCTGCAGATAACTACTGATTGAATTAACAAATAACTGTCACAGAAACAAACAAAAATGCAAAGCCGTAAATCACTGCATTTATATTTACAAAGATACCATAAACAAATATCCATGTATTTTTTCTTAAAAAAAACTCAATGTAAAATTCCAGAAAATGAATAAGCATTCCCCCCCCATTTGTTTCAGTATTAAAACTGCTCAGGGATCCATGCCTTTTAATCTGAATCACTTACGAGACATTTTTCTTGACATTTTATGAGTTCATCTTATTTTGCAACATTAAGCCAGCAGTTTTAAGTATCTGTAAGGTCCAAAAGGGCGCTCTGGTGGCACACTGGCAAGAAGCTGCCCTGCAGTCCTGAAGGAATGTGGTCTGAGGCCACCAGCTGCTCTACAGGAGAAAGATGGGCGGTGTCCTCCCATGTGATTAACTGGCTCTGAAATCCTCTGTAGGGTCAGCTATGGGTCGGTTCCAACCCTACAGTGCCCAACAACAACAATGTCCAAAAGAGTCCTGGTGATGCAATGGTTAAAGCATTGGACCCTACTGAAAAGGTGGGTCCTTCAAGCCCACCAAGTGCTCTACCACAAAGAGGTGTTAGTCTACTTCTGTGGAGAAAGCAGCTTTGAAAATCCTATGGGATGGTTCTATTCTGTCCTAGAGTTGCTATGACTTGGGCTCCACTCAACAACTGTGGGTTTAATGATAGAAAATTGACCTAAGGAATTATAATTTTAATTACTGACTTGTTATTTTGATTGCTCAACTAATATTGTTTTCCTTTCTTTATTCTAGAAAGGGATAACATTTGAAATTAACTTAGATAAATGTATTACTGAAGAAAACTTCCTACAAGAAGGAAAGGTATGTGGAGTAGATTTCCATTAGTAGACATAAGAAAGTAAGTAAGCCTTAGCAGCATTTGAAATGAAATTTTCATTAATAAAATTTACATAAAATTTAAATTGTTCCATAAGGAAAATTTCCTAAATATTCATGGAAGGATCTTTGGTGGTCAAATCACTCTCCCAAAATGTTTCTTCTCTTCTCATTTCTTTTTTAGACTACTTTTTTTTTTAAAATTTGGGTGAATTATTCCTTTTTCTTTATAATATTTATAGCATAACTTTTGTATCATGTCAAGATGTGTATATCTGATACGTGATCAATACCTAATATACTTACCTAAGTAACTGAGCAGACCCTGGAAACATGCCTTACTGGTTACTGATTTAAGCTCTGGTGGTGTAGTCTGTGTAGAGTCGTTCTACTACTTAGAGACCAAACTTCTCTGGTAACTTGAATCCATCCGCAGCTCTGAGGGAGAAAGAAAGGGGGAAAAAATCTTCCTGTGTGCTTTACGGCCTTCAAACACTTGCTGGAAGGTCAGTTACGACCACTTGATAGTAATGAGGGGTTTTTGAGAGTTACTGATAACTTTAATCAAAGTCATTTCTTATTGATAGTTATTGACAACTTTGTTTTGGTCTTTGGGTAAATTTCAATTATGCATTTGGACTTTTCTTGTCCTAGTGCATGAATGTAATGCACAGATATCCAAATCTCATTTTATTATTGTATTTAAATTATTTATATTTATTCCACTTTTTGTCAGACCTTCTAACAAATATAAAAAGAAATGGTTTTGTATTTCCATTTAACTTTCTTTGGATTTGCCTTTTCTGTAAGGAATTCACTGATGGTGTAAACCTTTAAGCACTCTGCTACTTATCTAAAGGTTGGCCATTTGAACACACACAGAGGCACCTCAGGAAACTCACCTGGTGACCTGCTTCTCAAAAGTCACAACCCTGAAAACTCTGTGGAATAATTAATTGTATTCTTTATGCATGAGGTCTTCGTGAGTCGCAACCAACTTACTGGCAGCTGACAACAATGAGTATATGCTGAGGGAACTCTGGTGGCCTAGTTATAAGGGATTGCGCTTCCAGACCAAAGGTTTAAATCCATCAGTGGCTCCATGGGAGAAAGATGGGCAATCTCCTCCCATGTAATTTACAGTCTCTGAAAACCCACTGGTGTGTTGGCTATGAACCCATTCCAAAAAAACAGTACACAACAATAATATGACAGCAAGGACATGAAACATAATTTAAACAAACTGTCATTAAAAAGACAGGAAAGAAAGGAAAGAGCAAAATGGATGTGAGAAGAGACTCTGAAATATGATCTAGAACATAGAAGAGTTAAAGCTAAATGAAGACATAAAACTTAAGAAAAAGGAACAGAAGATTTCAAAGAGTGACTTGAAAATAAAATGCAAAGAATTACAATGAAACTTGCAAGTTAGAAAATAAAAATGGAGGAACACACTCACTATTCTCACACTGAAAGAACTGAAGAGCAAAGTCAAGATACTGTGTTCATGAGGCAGAACCAACTTGGTGGCAACTTACTTGATGGCAAGATACTGTGTCCCCTCAGTTGCAATACTAAAGGATTCCAGGGACAAAGTATTGAATTATACAGATGGAAGAATTACGTGGAGTCATTCTACCAAAAGCAATTGGTTGATGGCCAGTCATTTCAGGAGGTAGCATATGATAAGGCGCCAACGGTATTCACGAAAGGAGTCTAAGCTGCATTAGGGCATTTGTGGAAAAACAAGACTCCAGGAACTGATGAAATATCAACTAAGATACTTCAACAAATCAATACTGCACTGAATAGATTCACTCAACTATACCAAAACAATTTGAAAGACTACTCCCTGGCCAGCCTATTGGAAGAGATCCCTATTTATGCCAATTACAAAGAAAAGTGGTTCAACAGAACGTAGAAATTATGAGAGTGTAGTTTTACTTGGCTCTGCAAAAAAACACCCTTAGTACTAGTAGTCAAGGAGTGGGGGGAGAAATTCTGCTGTCAGGAACCTCTCCAAAATGCTGAAGAGCAAAGACATCAGTTTAAAGACTAAAGTACACCTAATTAAAGCCATGGCCTTTTTGATTACATGCTACACATCTGAAAATTGGACAATAACTAAGGATGACAAAAGAAACAATATCTTTGAGTTGTATAGATGAGTATTGACTGTATCTTGGACTAACAAAAGAACAAATAATTCTGTTCTAGAAAAGGTGCAGCTGGGGATGCCAGCATGGTAAAACTTCATCTCATACTTTGGGCATATTAGGATGGGCCAGTCCTCGGGGAGGGACATTGTGCTTGAAAGGTGAAGGGTCATGATAAGGGAGGAAGACCCTCAACAGGATATATTGACATGATGACTGTTCCTGTGGGCTCAAGTGTATTAGAGATGGATTATGGATGACACTGAGAAGAATAGAGATTCCAGAACCACCTCATAACTGACCCTCTGTCAGGTTTCTGAAGCTGTAAACTACATGGAATGACCTTGACAACCTTTCTCCTGATGGATTTGAACTGACAGAGAGGCAGGGCCTTTCCACTAACTCCCTGCTCACTACATCACCAGAGCTCCCCTATCAATTACTGTCTCTAGAAAAGCCTGCTACCATCAGTTTGATCTCACCTTTTAGAATGCCTGTATGATTACAGAGTGGCACTGCCCTTAAGGTTTCTGAGGTCACACTCTTTAAGAAAGCAGACTGCCACATCTTTCTCCTATGTAGTGACTGGTGAGTTCAAACCACGAACCTCAATATATAAAACCCAACCAAAGCTATTACCTTCAAGTAGATGTCAGTGAATGATGGTTAGACAATCTCCTGTGGGGCTAATTACTGGTGAACTGGAATTACCCACCTTTTTGTTAGCAGTTCAAGACATACCCCACTATGTTACCATGTCTCCTGACCTATAGATACTCTCTTTCTTCCAATCTATTAATATAGATAGATAGATATACACACCCACATATGTATACACACACACATATGTATATTTATATAGATACATATATATGTTGTTGTGTGCCATTGAGTTGAAACTGACCCTCTAGCTGGTTTTCAGAAGCAATAAATCAGAGAAGACTGCTCATCCTTCTGTCCATATATACACATTGTCACTCACTCATTGCTATCAAGTTAGAACCGACTCATAGCTGACCCTCCAATGGGTTTTCGGAGGCAAAAGTCACATGGGAACAGATTGCCCATTTTTCTCCTGGAAAGCAGCAGCTGGTGGATTCAAAACGCCTACCTGTGGGTTGATAGTGCAATTCCTTACCCACTAGGTCACTAGAGCTCTCTCTGTCTGCATTATACACACACTAGATATCCATATATAATATGTTGTTGGTGGTGTTAGGTGTCATCGAGGAGCTTACAACTCATAGCTACTCTACGAACAACAGCTCCTGCACCATCCTCATCGTCTCTGACATGCGTGAGCCCGTTGTCACAGTCACAGTGTCAGTCATCTTGTTGGGGGTTTGCCTCTTACTGTTGTCTCACATAATTTGGGCATGTTGACAGAAGGGGCCAATTATTGGAAAAGGACATCATGCTGAGAAAGGTGGAAGGTCAGAGAAAAGAGAAAGAGAGAGGAAGACCTCCAACATATATAATAAAGATATAGGCTTTTATTTGTATGTATATGCATGAGTATTTTTATGTACACACACACACATACACACACACACACACACACTTATCTCACGTAGGGAAATTCTGGTGGCATAGTGGTAAGGAGTTATGTTGACAACCCAAAGGCTTGCAGTTCAAATCCACCAGCTTCTCCAAGGAAAAAAGATGGGCAAACTTCTCCCATGTGATTAACTGCCTCTGAAAACCTGCTGGACGGTCAGCTATGGGTCAGTTCCAACTTGATGGTACACAACAACAAACAACATATCTATAACACTTGGTAATGAATTTATTCCATGTTTTCTAGCTTTTTTATGCCTTCATCTATCATTTTTTAGCATTTTGTTAGAGAATTCTATTGGCATGATGATAGTTGATATCCACCTCTCTTTAGTTCTTAAGCCTCTAAGTGCCCCAGAGCTCAGTGGGAACCAGAGATGGGGCCTCTTTCCAGACTGGAGCCCAAGAGTACGTGCATACCCATAGCACTTTTGTGCCATGACACTCAGCAGTTGGCCTGTTGGAATTCACAAATGAATCAAGAAGGTTTTATTCTTCAGGGTTCATTGTTTGCTATTGCATGCTTTGATCAGCTTGATAAAGAAATGATCACTTTAGTTAGTGTTGTTTGTGGACCTACTTAGGTGTGTTGCATTCTGAAAGCAAGGTGTGTAGGAGGTGACCTTGAGAATTCTGTAGAATGAAGCTAAAGTGGAAAGAACACTATATCAAAGGATTAGGGTTAAGGTTACTATATGTCTTGCTAAATGGTATACTAAGGAACATAAAATTTTTTCCCCCAAATATGCTTTCTTTTTCATGAAACTGAATGGAATTACTTTAGGACATATTAAATGAAACTTTGAACTTTGAGGATGACAGGAAGTTCAAGGAGGATAAATCTATGAAACAGCATGAAGATTATACAGACAAAGCGTTTGAACAACTCTGTTTCCCAGAAGCAGGTAGGTGTCCTGTGAAAGCTGCAGCTGAGAAGGGACTGCTTCACCAGCAATCTGTGTGACCTCTCTCCTCACCAGCCTTCTACATTCCACAGTCACCTGACCCCTCTGTCCTCCCTCTGAGCTGGACTTCTCTGACAACATGCTCACCGCCTGGCCAGCCCTGTAGTTATCAGCGCTCCCTGAGAACCAGCACTCTTTAAAAAAAAATTATTACATTTTATTAGTTTTAATGAACATTTACTGAGATTTTGGGTTTTCATTCATTCATTGTTGCACTGTTTTCTCTACCCTCCTTCCCAGTTCGTTCTTCTTCCCCCCGAATGTCTGTTTTGATTGTCCAGTTGCCACAGTGCTTGTCAAAGCCAGTTCTGATTAATCTCCTTTGTCAGTGTGTCCTTTGCCATTCCCTATCACTCCTTCCTAAGAGAGACTTCACCCTGATTCATAAGGAAAAGGGGATGGCGTATTCTCTTAGCTACTTCCTGCTGAAAAGGGATGCTGTGGGTTTCAGGGTGAAGGTCTTCTCTCACTACTCTAAAGGGCCCCTTTGGCAGTAGGAAACACATAGACTATTATGGAGATTGATTTTGGAATTTAGATGCACTGTTATCAGTTGTGCTTAGCCGTACGTGTTCATATCCTTGAAGATGTATCATGGAAGTGTTGCAGCCTAGGAGAACCAGCACTCTTGTCTGGTTTCAGGGTTGGTCTTTGAGCACTGTGGCCCACCCTCTCAGAGCCAGCTTCTCCCAGGAGCACCACACATTCTGCTTCTTTTCAGTGTCTGTTGGCACATTTTAAGGAGGAACCAGTCCTTGGAGACAGATGGCATGCTAGGGCAAAGGCAGAGGGTCAAAGAAAGAGAGGAAGACCCTCAACACAATGGTCTGCCATAAGTGACTTCCTTATGGACTTGAGCGTGACAGAGATCGTGAGGATGATGTGGGAGAGGGCAAAATTTGGATTTGTTGCTTATAAGATCACTGGAGTAGTTAACCTGAAGGCACCTAATAACAACAACAACAAGTATTAATGATAAGGGTGACATAATTTTGAAACTGATTTCTATTTTTGCTTTTCTAAATAAGGATCTATGATAGACTGAAGGTGTGCGCTCTCCTCACCTTGAAGAGCCAGGGATGGCTGCCCCAGGGCTCCGTGGAATGATGTGGTGCACACTGGCTGATTTTGACTAACTCCTTCTGTGTCTTTGCATTCAGAGGTGGTTCCTCAGAAAGCTGCTGCCGCTGCGGCTGCAGAAAACAGGAGACAGTGGGGCACTGGGGCTCCACAGACGCTGCTGCGAATGATGGCAGCGGCTGATGTCACCTCCACCTGCTCCAGCGAGCCTGCAGGTGAGGCTCAGATCAGCCGCATTAAATTGTCAGCCCACCACTCTGTGCTCACCTTGGCCTGAGAGTTCTTACTTTTCTATTTTATACTGGTTTACTTGCAAAGTTCACCCCACTCCTCCGTCCACCCATCAAATTGTGCGACCCTGTGATTAATGCCCTCCCCCACTCATCCTCAGCCCTCTGCTCCCCTCCCACCCCCCCCCCGCCCCCCCCCCCCCCCCCCCCCCCCCCCCCCCCCCCCCCCCCCCCCCGCCTTGGATGCTCATACACAGTCTACAGTAATGGTCTTATAACAGTATTTGTCCTTTTGGGACTAGGTGAGTTCACTCGGAATAATGAGTTCTTACTTTTCAGTGCAGTCTCTGGATTTTTCTGTTAGGTACGATGGGTTGACTCCCACTCAGAGTGAACAGCCTTGCCTCATCCTGAACCACCCTCACAATCTCCACCACAATCAGGTCCATGGTTGCCCTCACTGTACCATCTCCTCGAGAACCTTCCACCTCCTGCTTCTGTAAACACAATGTCTTCTTCCAAGGGCTGGTCCTTCCTGACAACATGCCTAAAGTATGTGAGATAAAGGCCTTGCCTCTAAGGAGCAGCCTGGTTGTACTTCCGTCAAGACAGATTTGTTTGTTATTCGAGAGTCGATGGGATATTGAATACTCGTCAACACCACAATGTGAAGGGGTCAGTTCTTCTTTGGTCTTGTGTACTCATCGTGTAACTTTCACCTGTATATGAAGCAATTGCAAATGCAATGGCTTGGATCAGACTCACCTTACTCTGCACACACACACACACACACACACACACACAGAGATACACACAATTGCTTTGTGAACCAGTGTGCTGAGTGTGCAGGATCTGGCATTTCCAACCTAAATTCCACCCATTGGTTTTGAAGTTTGTGGCATAACTTTTCCTTGGAAGAGGCTTCACAGCAACCTGCTGATAATTATACTTCAACATGTGCTGTAGATTTTTGTTACGTGTTTCCTGTATTCATCTTGAAGACATAGGGCTGGGTGCAGAGATAAAATAAACACATATGTTATTAAGAAGCTTAGTTTTACCCACTCCCTCAATGTGGATACGATTTGGAGAGGAATGCTGATGGCAGGGTAGTTAGGTATGTGATTATGTAACATTATCATGGAATTTAGTAACTTAAAGTATATGAATTAACTTGACATAGGTTTGCAAAGTACTTACCAGCAGTCAGGAAATTAAAAGACAAACTGCATTGGGAAAGTCTGCTGTCAGAGACCTCTCCAGAGTACTGAAGAGCAATGATGTCAGTCTGGAGACTAAGGTGCATCTGAGTCAGGCCATAGTCTTTGCAATTACTTGCTATGCATCAGAAAGCTGGGCAATGACTAGGGATGATGGAAGGAGAATTGATGTCTTTGAGCTTTGATGCTGGAGAAGAGTATATTGATATACCATGGACTGCTAGGAGAACAAACAGGTTCATTGTAGAAAGGGTAAGGCCAGGCTGCTTCTTAGAGGCAAGGATTCTAAGGCTTCGTTTGACTTACTTGGACACGTTGCAAGGTGGGATCAGTCCTTGGAGAGAGATGTCATGCTTGGGAGGGTAGAGGGACAGTGCAGGAGGGGAAGACCCTCGATGAGATGGATTGATTCAGTGACTGGGGTAACGGGGGTAGGTGTGTCAGAGATGATAAGATTGGCATGGAATAGAGCAGCGTTTAGGGTTGTTGTACATAAGGTCACTATGAGTCGTATGCTAAAAGAACAAATATGTCTTGGGGAGGGAGGAGCCTGATTGCTCCTTGGAGGCAAGGATGACAAAGCTTCGCCCCACATACTTTGGGCATGTTGCCAGGAAAGACTTCCTTGGAGAGGGACATAATGCTTGGACAGGTGGAGAGCTGGCGAAAGGGAGAAAGACTCTCAACAAGATGGATTGATCCAGTGACTGCTGCAATGGGTTCAAGTGTGTCAGAGATGATGAGGATGGCGCAGGATAGAATGGGACTCATGTCTGTTGATCACAGAGTCACTGGGAGTTGTACTCGACTCAATGACACCTAACAACAATAGCAACACTTACATTTAGGGAACTTTAGTGACCTAATGAGTAAGGAGTTGCACTGACAATCCAGAACCACTTGGTTTGAACCCACTGGCTAATCTGAGGGGAAAGATGGACAGTCTCCTCCTGTGTGCTTTACAGCCTCTGAGGGTCAGAACTGGAGCGCCTGCTATGAGTCAGTTCTAATTCGATGACACATAACAACAACAGCTTGAAAAGCAGTGGGTTTTCAGAGGCAGTTAATGGCACGGGAGGAAAATGCCTGTCTATCTCCTGCGAAGCAGCTGGTGGACTCAAACCATAAGCCTTTAGTATTACAGCGTGGTTTCTTGCCAGTTGGCCACCAGAGTTACATTTTTATAAATACACTATTTGAAAGTCATCAATCTTTCCAGACAGAGCTTGCAAAAGTAATACAGTTTAATTTCTTCTAGGTCAATGCTACAGGAAGAAATAGAATTTACAGTAAGCAAATAGAGTAGAACTTTTAACACACCAGAAAAAGTCTGGTTACAAAGTAAAAGGTCTCCTCTACTGTCAGCCAATAACAATAATCACTAAGCTGTTCTGTATGTCAGTTTCCTTATTAATAAAGTGAAGCAGGTAGAGTTAGGTTGCCTCAAAGTCTCTGATATACTTTAATTTTAGAAAAGTGCAAATGAAATGAAGATTGTTTATAATATTTGCTATCATGGCTTCCTCTTCAGATGGCCAAGTCCTTGTGCTTGAAGGAGTCCCAGAAAACAGGAAGCACTGGCGACATGAAGCTCCAGGGACCTTACTGGATGCCTTGTCAGCAGCACATTTGATGACCAGCTCATTTTCTGCAAATGAAGGAAAACTGGGTATGTAGTTTCTGTTTAAGGAGATGATCAGGCCGCTGAGGAGTTGTACGGAAGGCCTGTAAATGCAGAAAGCCCGTTGCCTTGGGGGTCTGCTCTGACTCTGTAGGTTAGAGCAAGCAGCACTGCGCCCTAGGGATGCGAAGGCTGGGATCTTCTCAGAAGCAAACTGCCTCGTCTTTCTTCCAAGGAGCAGCTGATGGGTCCACAGTGCTGCCCTGTAGCTTAACAGCCAAGCACATAACCGCCGTGTCACTGGGCCTTGGAGCTTCGAAAGAAAGAAGTGGGAGGGTGTCTAGCCCTTTCACTAGCTGATTTGCTTTGTTCAAGCCTGTTTCAAATGTCACTAACAAAGAACATAAACTTAGAAGGTGAAAAGAGTCATTTTCTTACTGTAATCAGTTGACAATGGATGGAAAGTTAAGTAAGTAGGACTGAAGGCTTTGTGGTAAGCTCTGATGCCTTTTTTTTTTAATGGGAACACTGATGGCTTAGTGGTAAGAAATTGCACTAACAACTCAAAAGCATGTGGTTCAAATCCACCAACTACTTCACAGGAGAAATAGAGGCAATCTCTTCCCATGTGGTTTACTACTTCTGAAAACCCACTAGAGGATCAGATATTCAACAACAACAACAACAATGATTTTCTGGTGCCCCTGAGTGGTGCAAATGACTGAGATACTTGTCTGCTAAAGTTGATGGTTCAAACTTAGCCTATGACTCTGTGGAACAAAGGCCCACTGTTGAGCTTTTATAAAGATTATATAGTTAAGAAAACCCTGGGAGGCAGATCTACTGCATAACATGAAGTTACTATGAGCAGGAATTGCCTAATTACAAAAGCGGTGATTTTTTTGGAGTACCTGGCAGGTGCCCATGGTCACTCAGTCATCCACTTGCCCAAAGACTGGTGGTTGAAACCATCCGAGGTGCCTCGGAAGACAGGCCTGGAGACCTGCTTCTGAAAGGTCACATCCCTGGAACATCCTGGGCTGCACACGTGAGGTTGCTATGATTTGGGATCTACTCGATGGTAAAGGATTACTGTCACTACCTCCACCAACACACCTTATGGAGCCCTGAGCTGAGGTGTGAGACAGCCCCCCCCCGAGCCGCCTGGGAAGAAAAGCCTGACTCTGTCCTCAGGAGTCAGCCACTGAAGCTGCATAGCACAGCGCCGCCCAGACACAGGAGGTTGCCATGAACCACTGTCAAGTCAACAACGAAGTAGCCGTGGTTTTGTGGGTGAAGATCACTTGTATTGCTTCACTCTCTGTTTCTTTTGGGTAGCTAGCTGTTCAGTAGATTCAAATGCTTATTTCATGAGCCATAAAAAAAATGTAGCTTTTATTCCACTCTACAATTTTAGAAAGATTTCTGCTTTTGTTTGTTTTGAGGGAAACCATCTGTTACTTCCTAAAGCTTAAGTAGGGTTTGGTCCTCTGATCAAGTGTTAAAGCTGTACGCCAAAGCCCTTGCAGATGGGCCTGCAAGCTTTAGTACAATGAGCACAAGGGTGCACATCCTTTCTCCCAGGAAATGTGGAGAAACAAAGTTGAGAAGGCAGTCTGGGATTTTTCTGAGTGACATGGTCCAGCAGGCTTGCTTTGTTGGAAGAGAATGAGCAGGGAGATATCCCAGTGCTGGCAGCTGTGGGGCTGGGCGAGGCCACACTGCGAGGGGCCCTTCAGTCTTTCAAGCGCTTCAGCCTGGGTCCAGACAAGACTCTGGGCCTTTTCTGGGGATCAAAAGGGAACTTTTTGCAAACTTTTAAACAGAAAAGAGCCTTCAAGTATTGTAGAAGGTTCATCTACCAGGTATGCTCTTCCCTGGAGGATTTCATTCTGAGGCAACCTCCCCTCTAGTGCTACTGCTGTGTTAAAGGTACTTGTCGTTCTCTCTCTTCTTTTCTTGCATTCTGCCAGCAGGGTTTTGCAAAGGTGTCTTAAATGAGTTGTCCTTAGCTGCCTCACGTGCACAAAGGAATAGAATGCTACCCGGTTCTGCACTGTCCCCATATCAATTAGGGTCTGAATTATGACTCAGTGTTTTCACTGGCTGCTTTTCAAAATAGCTAGGATTTTCCTTCCTTTTAGATGCCACTGAGTGCAACTCATAGAGAGCGACCCTATGCCACCAACTGGAAGCTGAGCTGAAACCTTGGTATTTTCTCCCTACATTTTCAAATACTCCAAAATTTTCTGGAAGGAATATATTATTGAATGTTGTTGTTGCTATGTGCTTTTGGGTCGGAATCAACTTATAGCTGTCCCTCCAGTGGGTTTTCAGAGGCTGTAAATTGCACAGGAGGAGACTGATCATTGTTTTTCAAAGGAACAGCTGGTGGATTTGAACCGCATACCTTTGGGTTGGCAGTGCAACTCCTTACTTCTAAGCCACTAGAGCTCCTTATTACTGAATGGATCCTTAAGCTATTTTAAGGAATGGATTTATTTGACTCATTATATAAAATATATCAATTCAACATATAATTAATGTTGTTAGGTGCTGTTGAGATGATCTCGTAATTATCAGTCATTCTTGTTGCTGTTTTTAGATGTCATGGAGTATGACTCATAGAGAGTGACCCTATGTCCAATCTTGTGCCGTCCTCATCATTTCTTATGAACTTGAGCCCACTGCAACAGTCACTGCATCAATCCCTCTCGTTGAGGGCCTTCCTTTCTTTCACAATATCCCTCTACCTTTCCAAGCATGATGTCCCTCTCCTGGGAATAGCTTCTTCTAACAATATGCCCAAAGAATGTCATCTTTGCCTCCAAGGAGCACTCTGGCTGCACCTTCTCTAAGACATCTGTTTGTTCTTTTGGCAGTCCATGGGATATTCAGTATTCTTCTCCAATACCATAGTTCAAAGGCATCAATTCTTCTTCTGTCAATCTTATTCATTGTCCAGCTCTCGGATGCATAATTTGTAACTGAAAAGACATACATGAATCAGATGCACCTTAGTCTTCAAATTGCCATCATTAGTCCTCAACAATTTAGAGAACTCCCTGACTGCAGACTTTCCCAGTGTAATACATCTTCCGATCTGGTTATTCTTGGAGGCAAGGATATTGAAACTCTGTCTCATATACTTTGGGCATGTTGCCAGTCCTTGGAGAAGGGCATCATGCTTGGAAGTGTAGAGGGTCGGAGGAGGAGAAGACGACTCTCGATGAGATGGATTTACACAGTGACTGTGGCAGTGGGGTCGGGCGGGTCAGAGACATTGAGGCTGACTAGGGATAGGGCAAAGTTAAGAGGTATTGTTCAGAGGTTCACTGTGTGTGCAGTTAACCCAATAGCACAACAACAGCAACAACAACACCTCCAATAGCTGAGAGGGGGGAAAAAATAGAAAGCTATGGTATTAAGGACATTGGGTTACTGTTTGAGGTGATAAAATTCTTTAGTTAACAGGTAATGAGGAAAGTTGTACAACATGATGATGCCATTAGTGTGAAAGAATTATACACTTTAAAATGCTTGTTGTTGTTTTGTGCCATTGAGTCAGAACTGACCCATAGCTGACCCTCTGGGGGTTTTCAGAGGCAGTTAATCACAAGGGAAGAGTTTGTCTATCCTTCTCCCATGGAGCAGCTGGTGGTCTCAAACCACAAGCCTTCAGGATTGCAGTACAGCTTCTTGCCACTAGGCTACCAGAACTCCTAAAAATCCTTAAAATGAAAAAAAGCATATGTTGTTGTTGTTATGTGCCATTGAGTTGACTACAACTCATAGTGACCCTATGCACAATAGCCTGGAACCCTGCTCTATCCTGAGCCAATCTCACTGTCTCTGATACACCTACCTCCATGGCCCCAGGTAGAAGAACAAAAAAAGAAACAATTCTGAAAAATCATTTAGAATTTTTTTAAAGGTTAACCACTATATTATAGTAAAAGAATGTATCATTTATAATCTAATGAAGAGAAAATAATTCAAGCACGTTGGTGCTGAAGTGATTCTGGCTCGTGGTGACCCTCAGGACACAGCAGAACTGACTCATAGAAGGCCTAAGGCGCTAAATCTTTACAGAAGTAGGTTTTCACGTTATAACTGTTAGAAGCCTGGAGTCGTCCAACCTGGGTCTCAGGAAACATCAGAACGCTGGGATGAGTGTTGGTGGTTAGGGATTTTCTTTCTGGAAACTGTGGTAAGATACTCTTTTAGCCTATCAGACACAGATGGTGGTTAAGCGTGTGTGAGAGAGAGCTCCTCTCTTCTTTTGTAGATTTCCCATACTCTCTTTAATCTGGACTGGCTTTGTGGTTTGCTTAGTTCAGTGTAACAGAGTGAGCATGATGGTATGTGTGTCTACATCTTGTTGTT